CGCAGCCTTTCCCTACATTTCTGCAAGAGGCTGTTTCCAGGACTTGAACCCGTGACCTCATGGTCACAAGGCAGCAGCTTTACCACTGCGCCAAGGCTCCCCTTCGCTGGTGTTAATAACGATGCATCTGCTTAATTGACATCCAAACATAGCTTGTTTTCATTACACGAGATCTCCCATGTTCTATTACTAGGTATGTAGGTGTGGTTTACCTGTAGCTGATGTGTATAGTGTAATCTTGCCCTGTTTTTAAAGTATGTGAACGGTGTGCGTGGCTTCATGTATTAGTATTTGGGTTGAACCTCCTGCAGTGTGTTTTCCTGCTCCCTAGCTTATCTATTACTAAAATGCGTTTATTACTAGTATCTACTCAATTGAACCTACTTGACCTTTGGAGAGTCCTAAACTTATTTTGTCTTAATCCAGGGACTCCCCTGCACATTGCTGCCAAGGAAAGAAACAAGAGGGTGGTCAGGTTCCTTGTCGAGAACGGCGCATTCCTGCCCCCTGACCTGAACGACCACAGGTTCAACCCACCCCTCCACTACTGCTCTGGGCTGGAGTGGGCGTACGAGATGAAGCGCATGCAGGACGAGAGTGACTCGGGCGGCGAAGCTTCCTTAAGCTCATCCAGCTAGTGAAAAGTGATCTATCCGCAGGGGATTCTGCTGATCTTTGGGTTATGACTGCTTGTTTCTAATTATGAAATCCACCCTTTCCTAGCTTATGTGCCGAGCCTGCGAGGAGCTACGTCCAAGTGAAAGCAGGCTGATGCTGGTATTGTATGTGTATACAAGAATAAACACGGTGCCGTCACGAGGTCCTGGAGTTGCTGCTGTGCTGCCCTCTAGTTTACCTGGTATATTCTGGTACATCGGTGACCAGGCCGCAGTGATCTCAGATTGGGATATCCGTCTCTATGAAGAAACATCCTTCGTAAACATATGTTGTCGAACCTTTGCTTTGTTTGCCGGACAAGTATTGTACATTTGATTGGTTTGTTTGGAACACATGTGTTTTTTTTTTGTCTGAAGCTATTGTTGTGTTTATTTGGAAACTTGATATTGTCTTTTCGATCAATTAAATATGTATTGTTGTGGACATATACATACTATATTGACAAGAAAGTGATCGTTCGTGGTCGTCCCTAGTATGTATCACCAAGATACATCATCACTCTCATTTTCGTGAAATCATGAACCATTTTTTAAAATCATGGACATGTTGTTAAACTCACGACATATCTGAAACTGTGGACATTATTAAAATTCATGAACATTTTTACAGATTTTCAAACATTCATAAAATCATGAACAGTTTTTGAATTTGATGGTCCTACTCTTCCTTTTGTCATCAAAGTCAAGTTGGACCACCAATCAGTATAGAAGAGAGTGAAAAATGCTTAGACAATCTGGACGTGGAAGGATGCACGACCTCTCTCGGTTGTGACTTGTATTGTGTCGAGACGACAAAAACATATAATCCGTTCATGTTGTTCGAAGCAACTTCTATGGAAGCAAATTCAGAATTCCTTTGAAGCAAATTGTATTTTCTTCTAAAGCAAGTTCTAATTTAGTAATGTTTGATGGAAATAAATTTTAATTTTGTTGGAGCAAGCACTTAAAATAATCCTCTGGTCGCATGGAACATATTTTTGAAACAGAAGTTTTTTTGGAACTGCAAGGACAGTCGAAACAAAAAATAAACCAAACTGAAGTTTTTGTAAGCAAGGATCACCATGGTTGAAAACAGCGTACGAATCAAACAAAAATAATCCTCACGACTGAATACTTTTTAGGAGGCAAAGAAATTTTATGAAGCAAACAGTCTCCGGTCGTACCAAATTTTTATAAGAAGCAACAATCCCGGTTCATAAGATGGCCATAAGCTGATCGTACCAAACCCTCTCCGGACAAAGTAGCCAGTGCCTCCGAGGAATCCGATTGTACAATCACTGGTCCTTTGGAATGTTATATTGCTAATTCCATGCCTTGCGTTAACGCATGAATTTCGGCCTTCAAAGCATCATTGCAGTTGAATAAGACACAGGACGGCAGAGTAAAATCCCGTTGCTCCCCTCGCTCCCAAATTCGCCGTTGTTGCCGCTTCCCACGACCACCTCCGCCTCGGGCCGCCGCCGCCGCCGCTGCATCCCACGACCAGCTCTGCCTCGGGTCGTCGCTGCTGCCGAGTCCCACGACCAGCTCTGCCTCGGGTCATCGTCGATGCCGAGTCCCACGACCAGCTCCGCCATAGGCCGCCGCCGCTGCCGCGTTCCACCTTGGGCGGTCGTAGAGCTTGTGGAGCCCCATGACGGTGTTGAGGCCTGGACATAGCCCCCCGTAGGTGACGAGGACGGCGTGGGCGCGAGCCGGAGAGATGTAGAAGGTGGGGGCGGGTGGAAGTAGGGGTGGCTAGAGATGACGGGACCATAGCGTGCGCGCAACTCACGGAGGAGTAGGGCAAGGTGGAAGATGAATCGCCGGAGCGCTAGGAACTTGGCCAGGAAGAGCAGCGCTGACAGGTCTCGGGCGAAGCTCCTTATAGAATTAAGAGTTGGGAAAGTAGTGGCTGAACCTTAGCTTAGTGCACCCACGAAAGAAAACATAGCAAAACATTTCAAAAAATTCTAAAACCTTGTGGGAATGATGATCAACAAATGTTATGGTCACTTGTAAAGTTTGGTGGTCTACTAACATTCGGGGAGCTCTGTACCAAAAAAAAAGACAAATAACAAAATATGCTCAAACAATGCACTTACATTTTGATGCCGAAACGTGTCTGGATGTTTGCCGGCAGTTTAAGGATCTGACCGTGTTGGACGGCAAAACACATCTAAACAGCTACAGATGATTTAAGGGGCCGATCATGTTGGATGGGCGGTTTGAGGGTCCATGTTTGAGGGCGCCCTGAGGCTAACCCATTGGAGATGAGCTCACAAGGGGTCCTAGAAAGAAAGTTGTTGAAAAATCAATATCAAAAAGATTCTGGCTGAATCTCATGCTCCATTATGTCATATAATACGGAACCAAGCACAGCGGCGGCAGCACCAGTCCGCGACACATTGCATACCACCACCAAATTCAAGCAACTAATTTCCAACCTTCGTCAAACATCGCATCAGCGAAGTACATCATCGTGCTCGTACGCAACACTTTTGCCAATCAGGGGCGACACATCAGACACGTCCATACCGGGAGCTGAAGCTGAAGCTGAACAACACATACAGGAGGCAGCCAGCCAAGATCATCACTTGGACAGAATTCTCGATCCATCAGGCTTCTACTTACTAAATCACCACCAGTCTACCTCTAGCTCTAACAAGAAGAAATGAGGGAGAGAGAGAGAGATTCAGGGCCCCTGAGTGAGTCTCTGCAGCTCGCCCTGCTCGTCCAGCGTCTCCATGAGGAGCGGCGGCGCGTACTGCGCCGTCCCCTGGTGCTCCTCCGCGTCCTGGCAGAAGGACAGGATGATGGTGTCGATGGACATCTCCACCACCGCGAAGAACAGCTTCGCCACCGTGTACCCCAAGCCCCACGTCACCTATATACACCACCACCACCACAAGTCTTAGTGATGGAAACAAAACATAATGCCGGGTCCAAGATGTACACTCACCAGCACGGGTACCAGCGGCGACGATATCTTGTTGTGCGCCGACTTGTACTTGTGGGTGTCCAGCATGAGGAACGCGAAGAGCGCGCAGAAGAGGCTCACGCACAGCTTCCCCAGGAACAGGATCACGTCCCCGATCACGTTCACCTTCCCGATGCGCAGTATGTTGTTCATTATGAGGCCGGTCGCGAGCACCGAAGCTTTGAAGAACCCTTTCCCCGTGATGGCAATCTGCAAAACAGCAAAGAGAAGCCTTGTCAGTTCAAAAGTTGCAGCTCAAAAAATGATAGACAGACAAAAAGGAGTTCAGAACTAACTATCAGGTCAAATGTGGGGGATGAAGAGCCCCAAAATGGTACACACCATAGGAGTTCAGTTAACAATCAGTAAAACAAATATGTTCGTGCTTACCATTATGTAGGCATTTCGATTTACAGACATGAGGGTCCAGTCGATGCAGCCCCGGCAGCACTGAGACGAGGACGATGACACTTTCCCAAAGCAGCTCTCCCCAGCAGAACCGACCAGCTTCAGCTTGCGGCGAAGGCATTCTAGTATAAACCGCACCCACTCAACAGCAGACACAACAAGCGATCCTATGGCAGCAGATCCAAGGTTGTAACGCATCAGCCGCTTGAGCGAGGAGACGACGCTGAAAAACGGTATATCATGCTGCACCAGAATAGCTTGAATTGTCAGTAAATGGCGAATGCAAAAGTATGGAGTGAATTAATGAGCACCCATTTAGTAAAAGTAGTTAAAGTTCTGACTCTTTTGTGCTGTACTTACAGATATTTCGCCACGGGCCCAGTAGTAGGAAGCAACTGATCCAGCAACCACAGTTGCAGAGCATGCCATGAAGAATTGTGTAGCCCAGTAGCATCCAAACAAGTGGAAAAGAATGGCAATGCCGATATGAGGGGTGTAGTGGATGCTGTACCCACAACAGTTGTCACAGTTCACTTTGCCCAACTTCAGATCATAGGAGCAACAATCTGTGCTGCAGTCATTGCGGACAACTTGACCAGAGCTGAAGAGGTGGAGTGTGGCAGAAAACCAGAACATATAAAAGATAGCGAGGATAAAGTACGGCACAATTGGGAAAACTATCAGTGCCTGAACTTCACCAATGACCTTTGCAGCAACCTGGAAATAGTTTTTTGACGTTAATGCACAGAAATTATTAAGTATATCACAATAGAGGTGGCATTGATGAATTGTGCTTTTGTAACAGAGCCATTGTCCAATCAAGCTTACGTATCCAGTGAGCTCCTTACCTTCAGGACAGGTGTGGCTATCAGTATACGCCGGACAATAGCTATTGAGGACAGAAAAGCAATGATCATTATTACTGTCATCAGCACTGTGGCAACATGAAGGTGGCTTATTTCCTGGTAAGAAGGTAAATGATCAGATAACAAGCAGCTTGACCTTGTAAAAAGTTGGCTCGATTGAGAGCACTTACCCGCCCACTAATGTGAACATATGGATCACTTTCACCAATAACAACCGTTAAGGGGTCATTTCCGAGCCAGCCAGCTGAATGTATAACGTAGCCAGTTAGGAATAATGTCACATGCCTCGGACATAACATGGCAAATGGCACTAGTGATATATGTACCTTTGATGTAACAAAACATCGTAACAGATACTATAAGGGCATTGAAGAGCACTACTGTTATCCATGTCATTGCAGCAACAAAATAACGGATCATGAGCAACCAGATCACTGACAAGAAAAGAGGAAGGAGTGCACCACACACGATTAGCACAGGCCAAGACTTCCCAATGTCCGCAACATATCTCTGCAAATAGAAGAAATGCAATTAATATCTACGTACTGGGTCTCAGATGCTCCACATATCAGTTGCATCAGGAAATTATTTTAAAAATAGAACAAAATCAGTGACGATGTTGTGGAGACTCGGTCTAAATAGCCACTATCAAGTACTAACTGCTATCAGGACAATCACACTGCAGGAAAATTCTTTTTAGTGAAGAATAAAATTACAGTTGCAGTTTAATGCACATTCAGGATAAACTGTGGGAGTTCTGAGGACAGTTTGTCACTTAATTTCAGTATTAAGCAGATAACAAAGAATAGAGAGTAGTTCAGCCCCTGGAAGTTTAATAACCTTGAGGACTGCAGATCTGGAGTCGATGGCCTTGTGGATTGTTTTATCTATAAGCATATTTTGTTCAATGTTTACACCACCCATCTGTTGCCAGTGCGTCAAAGAAACATTGGATGCCCGGGCAATATATTGGCAGCTCCAATAGACTGAAAGAATAAGAATATTCTGAATTAGTCATCTCATTGTACTAGTTGACTAACTTGAGCTGTACTGTTACTCCATGCTTACACAAAGGTGTCATGAAATGGCTGAGAGTGAAGATTACCGGCTTACCGTTTACGCTAGGGAATATGACAGGGTAGCACGGACCCTGAAGCTGAAGGGAGCTGTTCCTCATATCAGGTGTTAGAACGTCGAAGTAGTTATAGTCCCTATTGATCCAATCATCAACCGAGAGCCTGACATCCCCTTCCGGGTAATCACAGACAAAGTTTAGCCCATCCGGTGCCGGAGTGGGGCACTCCATGAGGCAGATGGCCTTGGCGTCGGCCAGGTTAGCCTTGCTGCCCTTGACTCCACTTTGGTACACCTGGTTGGGGTCCAACCAGTACCTGACCTCGAGCTCGTGCACGTCCGGGTCGCCGTGCCTGTCGCCACAGACGTTCCCTTTGTAGTCCAGCTCGTATGTCAGCCTGCACGACCAAGAACAAGATGTCATTCTAATACTGGCCTACATGATGAGGTTGCTAAATAGCAAGAGCATTCCTGGTTGACAAAATGCTACTCCTATTTAACAGAGAAATGTGCTTCCGGCCAAGTCTTGTAAACTAACCTAGATATATGGTAGTCAAGAGCAACTACAGGGATATCAGCATCAGCGAACAATTGCAGAAAGAAAGCAAAAGGTAAAACTGTAGCACTTAAAAAATAACTCGCCGAAATGATCGGATGACCAACAAAACCCCATGTACATGCTTCAAGTAATTGCAGAACGGTAGTAGTACTAGTAGTAAAACGACAGGTATGTACAAATTGCAATAATGATGCTCAAAAAGTTTTACATGACTGAATAAATTCCACCCCAAAAGGCAGTGGTACATTGCGCATGTGGTTAGCAAGAGCATATATATGTGAAGGGCGCGGGGCAGAGAAAGTGTCATCTGCTTTCAGCCAACCGAGCACCGAGAGCAGAGCAAAAAAAGCCTTTGAAGAGGGTTTTAGGGAGGGGATACAATTCCCAGGGCCACCACACAGCTCTACTGTCTGTCTGTAAGCACCAAAGTCTGGAAAGCAAAGGCGGCTTCCATCTTTTCTGGTTTATTTATCCTAAAAAAAATCGGGTGGGAGACCCTAGCAAGAACCAGATTCCTCGCGTTGGCACTAGCAGCAGCAGCAACATGGCCATAGCAGCCCTCCTCGGAGCTGCTAGTTCCAGTTTCACACCAAGCAAGACTCATTCATTCAATCAGTCAGTAGTACCAGGAGTAGTAAATCCTAGAGCAGCTGCTAGCCATCACCGAAAGCAACAGGAGGGAGCAAGCAAAGCGTTTCACAGTCAGCAAGACCCATTCATCAATTCATTCAGTAATCAGTACTAGTAGTGGTAAATCCTGGAGCAGATAGTCGCCGAAAGCAACAGGAGCGAGCGAACGAGCGTTTCTTTCCCCTCCCCCTTGATTTGTCACACAAAAAATAAAATAAAATAAGGTTGGGTTGAGGGGCAGTTGGGAATGCGCGGTGCGGATGGAGATCTGCGCCGAGGAGAGGCAAGAGGCGATGAATCTGGAGCGAGCAAGGGGTCGGACGGACGGACCTGAGCGGGTTGCCCTGGTTGAAGGCGAAGCTGGAGTTGACGATCATGGCGACCCAGAAGGCGGCGAAGAGGACGAGGAAGGCCAGGTCGCGGCACCGCCGGTCGTGCCGGATAATGCCCAGGCTGGCCGTGCCGCCGCCGCCGCCCGGGTGGTCGGCGTCGTCTCCCCCGGGGCCGCCGGCGGCGGCGGCCGAGGGGTAGCGGCCGATGATGGCGCCCAGCGGGCCGCCCATTCCGCCTCCTTGTGCTCCGACGAGCGTGCACGCGCGCGGCGGCGGCTTTGCGGCGGGTGGATGGATTTGGGGCGGTGATCTGCTGGCGGGGCGTGGGGGGGGGTGGAGATTGGAGAGCAAGAAGCAGAGCGGAGGAGGGAAGCAAGCAGGGGAGTGATGGGTGCGGGAGTGTGGACTTGGCCTTTTCTGCTGCTGCTGCTGCGCTCGTGGGAAAAGCAAGCGCAGCAAAGAGATGGGGACCTGCACATGTGGGTAGGGTCAATGGGGTAGCGCTCCTCCATTATTAACCACGACCGCGCCGGAGAAGCGAGTACGGCGCCTTTGACGCTGTTTCTGGGAAACTGTCGTTCATCAAAAGGCCCGCCGACCACCGTCGCACGACACGACGCGAGCAAGTCGTGGTGTGTGGCTCCGTCCGGGTCGGGATACGGCGAGCCTCCCCCGTCCATCCCTCCATCCATGTGCGTCATGGCTTACAACTGCATCAATAGCGTAGAATGTCCGGGGACATGCTAGAAGCTCCACAACCGTGCAGCTAAGACTCGAGAAAAGATTCCGGTAGCAAATTGAGCATAATCTATTCGAGGCGCATAAACAGAAACAGAATGTCACAATAGTTAGGTTAGGTTAGGATGTGAAATTGTGATCCAAGTTTACAGAGCACTTTGGACTAACCCACCCTACCATCTACCTTGTGCAACAGGGGAAGAAGAGCCGCCCAACAGTGTGAATGACATAAATTTTTGTTTATACCATCAATGATCAAACTCGTGAAACTTTCATCAACCTTACACCCCACGTCCTCACCTCACCATGAAAAAAAGGCAACAGAAACTTCTTACTACAGTCTTTCGGCGGCTGTTCATACCAGGTTTCTCTAGGCAGTATCTGCATTGTCGAATGTTACACCTGCAGATGCTAACATTAGTAAAGACGCAACACAGATTTTGCTCGATGAGGCATTCATTTGCCTCGATATTGAAAGTGGTCCAGATTTGAAAGTGTACCTAAATTCAATGCATAGAAGTGACAAAAAAAAAGTCTAGGCAGGGTAAAATGCACAGATATATCACAAAAACTTTAGACAGGGTAAAGAGCTAAAGTCTAGGCAGGCTAAACTATGGCCTTTTCATTTGTAAGCACAATTTCATTCCATACATAAAACAACAACAACAACAACAACAACAATAGGCAAGAGCAACACCAATTGGCAGGAAGGAGGCAACAAACCATGAAGCAGTGATGTTTTAGGATACAACAACTGATGAATTTTTTATGGCAAATCAAGGAAACCCATATAACATAGTTGCAATACAGATCATTAATGGTTGTGACTATGTGTTCTCTGAAAGACTTGTCCCTTGACAAATCCGTCTTAACGAACAAACATAAAATGAAACACACGCAAGAAAATACACCTACAAGGTAGGTTGCTTCGGGTCGATGTCCTTAAGCGCATTAATCAACTCTTCTCCTTGTATACGTCTTTCCCCCGACCCCCGAGCCGCTCCCGCGAGCGTCCTCGGGGGAAACCCTAGCGCGCCGCCTCTCGTCCTCCCTCGTCGATCTCTCCCCCCGCTGCCACCGAACAGCGCCGCCGGGCAAAGTCCAGCCGGCGTTGGTGGCGGCGGGGATCTTGCCCCTCGATCTCTTCGCGGTTGGCGTTCGGCGTGAGACGGCGCTGGGCTGGGCGGGGCCCAGCGGCGCGGCGGAGGGCGTGCTGGGTGGCGGCGCCACTGCCTGGCGGTGGTGCAGCTGCGGCTTAGGGCCCCTTCCACGCGCGGCGGCTGCGGCTTCTCTGGCGGCGGCGCGTCCCGGCGGCGGCTTGGCGGCGTGGCGCGGCGGAGCTCCGGCGATGACTCGGCGGCGGGGTGGAGGGCTGGGCACCGTCCAGTGGTGCTGCCTCCGTGGTGGCTGCGGCTTGGGGCCCTTGACCCCGATCCGATATGGATCTGGTGGTGCTTGGGTCTGGGCCATGGCGGCTGGCGAGGCGTGGTGTTCGTCGGGGCTAGTCGGCCTCTAGGCACCATGGCGGTGCCGGCGGCGATGCGTGCCCGGCGTGGTGACGCTGGTGGACATGGTGGTCATCTTCTTCCAGAGATGGCCGGCCAGAGGCTTGGTGATCGGATCTCGAGATCCATCATCTTGTCCCGGCTGCGAGTAGGGGATACATGGTTGCCGGTGAAAACCGAGCCGACGGCAGGCGATGGCGGCGTTCTTGTTGGAAATATGCCCTAGAGGCAATAATAAATTAGTTATTATTATTATATTTCCCTGTTCATGATAATCGTTTATTATCCATGCTATAATTGTATTGATAGGGAACTCAGATACATGTGTGGGTACATAGACAACACCATGTCCCTAGTAAGCCTCTAGTTGACTAGCTCGTTGATCAATAGATGGTTACGGTTTCCTAACCATGGACATTGGATGTCGTTGATAACGGGATCACATCATTAGGAGAATGATGTAATGGACAAGACCCAATCCTAAGCCTAGCACAAAGATCGTGTAGTTCGTATGCTAAAGCTTTTCTAATGTCAAGTATCATTTCCTTAGACCATGAGATTCTGCAACTCCCGGATATCGTAGGAATGCTTTGGGTGTACCAAACGTCACAACGTAACTGGGTGGCTATAAAGGTGCACTACGGGTATCTCCGAAAGTGTTTGTTGGGTTGGCACGAATCGAGACTGGGATTTGTCACTCCGTGTAACGGGGAGGTATCTCTGGGCCCACTCGGTAGGACATCATCATAATGTGCACAATGTGACCAAGGGGTTGATCACGGGATGATGTGTTATGGAACGAGTAAAGAGACTTGCCGGTAACGAGATTGAACAAGGTATCGGCATACCGACGATCGAATCTCGGGCAAGTACAATACCGCTAGACAAAGGGAATTGAATACGGGATTGATTGAATCCTCGACATCGTGGTTCATCCGATGAGATCATCGTGGAACATGTGGGAGCCAACATGGGTATCCAGATCCCGCTGTTGGTTATTGACCGGAGAACGTCTCGGTCATGTCTGCATGGTTCCCGAACCCGTAGGGTCTACACACTTAAGGTTCGATGACGCTAGGGTTATAGGGAATAGATATACGTGGTTACCGAATGTTGTTCGGAGTCCCGGATGAGATCCCGGACGTCACGAGGAGTTCCGGAATGGTCCGGAGGTAAAGATTTATATATGGAAAGTCCTGTTTTGGTCACCGGAAAAGTTTCGGGTGCTATCGGTAACGTACCGGGACCACCGGGAGGGTCCCGGGGGTCCACCAAGTGGGGCCACCGGCCCCAGAGGGCAGTATGGGCCAAGTGTGGGAGGGGACCAGCCCCAGGTGGGCTGGTGCGCCCCCCCCCCCACTAGGGCCCAAGGCACCTAGGGTTTGGGGAGGGGGCGCCTCCACCTTACTTTTGTTGGGGAACGTAGCAGAAATTCAAAATTTTCCTACGTGTCACCAAGATCTATCTATGGAGAAACCAGCAACGAGGGGAAGGAGAGTGCATCTACATACCCTTGTAGATCGCTAAGCGGAAGCGTTCAAGTGAACGGGGTTGAAGGAGTCATACTCGTCGTGATCCAAATCACCGGAGATCCTAGTGCCGAACGGACGGCACCTCCGCCTTCAACACACGTACAGCCCGGTGACGTCTCCCACGCCTTGATCCAGCAAGGAGAGAGGGAGAGGTTGAGGAAGACTCCATCCAGCAGCAGCACAACGGCGTGGTGGTGGTGGAGGAGCGTGGCAATCCAGCAGGGCTTCGCCAAGCACCACGGGAGAGGAGGAGGAGGAGAGGCAGGGCTGCACCAATAGAGGGAGAAAACTCATGTGTCTGGCAGTCCCAAAACCTCTAGTTGTTGGGGAACGTAGCAGAAATTCAAAATTTTCCTACGCGTCACCAAGATCTATCTATGGAGAAACCAGCTACGAGTAGAAGGAGAGTGCATCTACATACCCTTGTAGATCGCTAAGCGGAAGCGTTCAAGTGAACGGGGTTGATGGAGTCGTACTCGTCGTGATTCAAATCACCGATGATCAAGTGCCGAACGGACGGCACCTCCGCGTTCAACACACGTACAGCCCGGTGACGTCTCCCACGCCTTGATCCAGCAAGGAGAGAGGGAGAGGTTGAGGAAGACTCCATCCAACAGCAGCACAACGGCGTGGTGGTGGTGGAGGAGCGTGGCAATCCCGCAGGGCTTCGCCAAGCACCACGGGAGAGGAGAAGAACTTGGGAGAGAGGGAGGGGCTGCACCAAAGGCATAGGGTGTGTTTGGGAGGCCCTCCTACCCTACTATATATAGGGATCCCAAGGGGGGGGGTGCGCCAGCCCCTAGGAGATCCAATCTCCAAGGGGGCGGCGGCCAGGGGAGGAGTCCTCCCCCCCCCCCCAAGGCACCTAGGAGGTGCCTTCCCCTGCTGGGACTCTTCCTTTAGGGTTTCCCCAGGCGCATGGGCCTCTTGGGGCTGGTGCCCTTGGCCCATGTAGGCCAAGGCGCACCCCCTACAGCCCATGTGGCCCCCCGGGGCAGGTGGCCCCACCCGGTGGGCCCCCGGGACCCTTCCGGTGGTCCCGGTACAATACCGATGACCCCAAAACTTGTCCCGATGGCCGAAACAGGACTTCCTATATATAAATCTTTACCTCCGGACCATTCCGCAACTCCTCGTGACGTCCGGGATCTCATCCGGGACTCCGAACAACATTCGGTAACCACATACAAGCTTCCTTTATAACCCTAGCGTCATCGAACCTTAAGTGTGTAGACCCTACGGGTTCGGGAGACATGCAGACATGACCGAGACGTTCTCCGGTCAATAACCAACAGCGGGATCTGGATACCCATGTTGGCTCCCACATGTTCCACGATGATCTCATCGGATGAACCATGATGTCAAGGACTTAATCAATCCCGTATTCAATTCCCTTTGTCTATCGGTATGTTACTTGCCCGAGATTCGATCGTCGGTATCCAATACCTTGTTCAAT